AGCTTTATTTCAGAGAATGTTGTGGGGACAGGGACTCAAACCAGCACCTTCCCAGTGGAGATGCCGGACAGACAAACACCGGCCCCATGACTGATGCCGATGGCCCTGGTGCTGTGTCCCGTCTGTGGTGTGTGTTGTCCCATGATGGGAACAGTCTTCCGTGTAAAAACATGCAGTCCCAGTCCAGTTATGAGGAGAACACCCGACAAGTCCCAGCCAGGGGACATTCTGCAGAGTACGTGATCTGCACTCACCCACCCTGTCGCCATCATTCAGAACAGGGGCAGGAGCCTAGGAGATGTGACGCCCAGGGGTCATGTGAGAGCCTGGGTGGGGGGTTGGAACAGGGAGGGAAAGCCCAGGCACCTGGCATACGCGGGGGCTTCAGTGAACCAGAGCTCAACACACCAGCCTCATGGGAGATGCCCCTCTTGGGGGAAGCGGGAATATGAGAACACTCTGCTATTTTTTTTTTTTTACATAATTTTTTTTTTTTTAAGATTTTCATTTATTTGACAGAGCACAAGTAGGCAGAGAGGCAGGCAGAGAGAGAGAGGAGGAAGAGGCAGGCTCCCTTCCGAGCAGAGAGCCCGATGTGAGGCTCGATCCCAGGACCCTGGGATCATGACCTGAGCCGAAGGCAGAGAGGCTTTAACCACTGAGCCACCCAGGCGCCCCCACTCTGCTATTTTTAATTTTTCTGTAAATCCACAACTGTTCTAAAATAAAAAGTTTGTATGAGAAAATAAAAACGGATAGAAGATTGGCTGGAGTGAAGACTGGGCACTATTCTCGCTGCCGGAGACCTCAGACCCCACGACCGAGTGTCTGCAAGCCAGTGGCGCCCGGAGAGGAGGAGCCGCTGGGAGCTGGGAGATGGCATGGCGCAACCCCCCCCAGCCTCTGCATGTGGCGCTTTACCACCTACATGAGGCGAGCCCCCCACGTGCAGTTTAGGATATTAATTTTTTGCGTTCTTTTACCTTCTCGAGAGTTTCCTGGCGTCCATGCTTGTGTCGCTGAGAGCCCTTGGTTTGGGAGACCTGGGCATGCAGGGAAAGGAGAGGAGGAGGGAGGGGTGAGGTCAGACGCAACACAGGTGTTTCTCAGTGTTTCTGTGCGGGTGTAGCATTGGTCCCCACCAATGGGATGGGGCCAGAAACAGAAATGATAGGAAAACCAAACTGTCACCGTCCCAGGATCCTGCAGGTAGAAAATCCATTTCAGATATGTGGTCAGAATAAATGAATGTGCTGGGGTCCTGGGATACAAACCCGCATCCGGTGACTTAAATGTGCAGTACTGAGGAGAATGGGCTGCTGAAAATGCCAGACACCTAGGGATAAGTCTAGAGATTTTCAGTTCCTCTGCACTCTGAGTTCTATAACACCTTTGACAGCAGTGAGGTGAAGCGCTAGTCCGTGTCCACAGATCGTATTGCTGTGATCCTGATCTCTCCCAGCTCTCTGTACCTACATGGTCCCAGACAGAGTTAGTCCCCTTCTCACCCCTCCCCGTCTGCCCCTTTTTTCTTTTTTCTTTTTCTTTTTGTCTTTCCGTCTTTTGGAAGACAAGCTGATTCTAGAGTTTATGTGGTAAAGGACCCGCAGCCCCCAAGATGGTTCTGAAGCAGAAAATAGGGACTCTTGCCTTGCAGCAGTTAGACGGTATGATTATTGGCACAGATATGAACAAATTGGCCAATAGGACAGGGATGCGATGTCTGATAGAACTCGTGTGCTGACCAGCAGCGAAAGTAAGACATCTTAGTAATGATGAGATGTTTGGCCGTCCTCACTGAAAAAAACCAAAACCCAAAGACCCGTACCTCACATCATGGGCAAGAGTCAAGAGCAGAGAGGTGGGGACGCACGGGAAGGGAAAGGCCACGGGACCTACAGGGGACAGTCCTGTAAAGTAGCTTTGCAGCCTCCAGGTGGGGAAGCATAAGCTCTGAAAGGACTGATGGATGGGACCGTCCAGAAAGGCCGTCTCTGAGATGGACGTAACTGCCAGAAAATCCGTGGTCGGAATTTGTAAAGAATTCCCCTGAGTCCAGAGAAAAAAGACAACCCAATTTTTTTTTTTTTTTAAAAAGGGGCCCAAGATTTGAATTCAGAATAGTCTGTAAGTGCCTAGGGAGATGCTCGGTGACTTAGCCCTTGGGGAAGGACAGATTTCACCTTCTGGAGACACTCTTGGGTCTCCACCAGGTAGGACAGTAGTGTATGGACAGAAGGCTCTCTCCATCCTTTTTGCAAGTCTTCCCCTTGCTTCCTTCCCCTGCTCGCCTTTCCCCTTCCCTTCTCTCCCCTGCCCTCCTCTCTCTCCTCTCCTTCCCCTGCCCTCTCTTCCTCTCTCCCCTTCTCTTCCTCCTTCCTTCCCCTCCTCTGCCCGCCTTCCCCTTCCTCTTTACTGTCTTCCTTTCCCTCCCCACTCCCTACCACCCTCCTACCCTCACCTCTCCTCCCCACCTCATTAGGTAACCTGTGTGTGGATTTTTCACACAGTGGCTTTATTGGTGCAAGAAACATAAATCTTTGTGCAGCGTTCAAGTGCAGACCCTCTTTGATTATGTACATCAGGGAAGGGGCTGAACCTTTTTATTCAGTGAGTTTTTGCTTTTTGTGTTATAGATGATGTGGCTGTTGTCACAGAAATTGCTTCAGCCTCCACATTGTGCAAGCGCGGGCTGGCCCACTCTTTGGGGTGGGGCAGCAAGGGGCTCTCCTGCCCTGGGGTGGCCGCCGGGGCTGCTCGGCGTGCCTCACGCCCTCTCCGTGTGGCGGGTGGCCCAGGTTCTCCTGGCCTGTGTCTCTGGTGCCTGTTTGACCTTCTCAGTGGGTTCCACAGATGACCTTAATGGAAGCCCATCATGGCCACTGGCCGTGCCCTTCCCCACTCTTCACGTTCCAGGCCCCAGCGTTTCCAGACTGCAGAGCAGGAGGGTGCCCTCATGAGATGGCAGTGTTCTCTGGCGGGCCAACAAGCACATATCTGGGATTGATTTCTTGCTGGCCCCTCAGCAAGGTATACCCCAGTCTAGTGTCCGGAAATTCCATGAGTGGGCCAACTCAACGGAGCCATACCTTGATTTAAAACTCATGGGCGGTAACTTTTGGTTATGCTAATAACCACATATCTTTTCACTTATACCCTGAACTGATTGCACTGAGAGTTGATGCCTCTTCCCACTCTAATGTGGATAGAAGTCACATGACATGGGGCAGCATTTATGCATTTGGCTTTGAAGTAATTAGACCTCTGGGGCTTGGGGCCGACATAAAAAGTTCAATCCCAAACTCAAGGAAAGGTCTTTCTGTAAGCTAGGATGCTGGCCCGGTGCTGCCGCTGACTGCTCCCAGAATTCGGAGATTCCTCCAGAAACCTTGCTCGCTTCTTGATTTCTCAACCACTTCTGGTTCTATAGCCTTCACTCAGCTGGAAGCTGAGGTCCTCCTTTGTGAAGGTATTTACAGTGGAATTCAAATTAAAAAAAAAAAGTATATACTTTTATCAATTTTATATTTTCAAAAATTAAATTTTAACCTTATCCAGAAGCAAAATGAGTTTCACTTACTTACTTTCTTGAAAAAAAGTTCCAGAGTGCTTTTCGGTTACCGTCTCCAGGTCTCTCTCTGGGCAGTGATGGCGCTCACGTGGCGGAGTGCTAGGCTCACAGGTCAGCCCCTGGGCTGTCCGGGGTAGTCCTGGTCCATGGGAGAAGCCCTCATGCTCCTGGTCGGGGTGTTGGGGCCTGCTGTTCGCTTCCACGATATGACCCGGCCGGCCGGCCCTCCTGGCTCAGGGAGCCTGGACGGTATTAGCCCCGGAGGTGCCTGGTGACTGCTGTGACTGTTGGGGTATGTTGCTGGTTTGGGGAAAAGGGTCCCAGGTGCCCGGTTGCGCAGGTGCGGGAGGCCCTAGTTCCCTGACTTCTTTGGGGGCCTCAGGAGCACACGTTTGGCTCTCCTCCAGGTGGTTGTTTTTGTCCTTGGATTGTGAACATTTTCAGAGACACATGGGCTGCGTAACACTCCATGTGAAGGGCATGCAAGGGGTTACCCAGGGCGGGTGAGAAGCAAGGTTCTAGTACAGTCTGTAGATCTGATGTCACTTGCTTTGTCTGCATCGGGGAGCCCAGGGTGCCCGTGAACCCGGCGCTCTCTCCTTAAATCACGAGAGTGACCGCCACGTCAGTGTCCTCGTGACGCGCCTGTCACTGCAGGCCGGTTTACACCGCTTGTCAGGAACTAATTTTAAACCCCAAGTGTGATTCCTGGAAGTTTTGCCAGAGTTTTCTTTCTTTCCTATCTGAGAGAATATGGAAAGTCTCGGGCAGTCTAAAAGCAGCCTGCTCCGGGTTTGGGTGGTGGCCGGCTTCCAGCTCCCATCTTTGCGCTCAGCCTGGAGAGACAGAAACAGGGCCGGGATCCAGGCGGGGAGAAGTGATTCTTTACATTGTGAGTACCTGGCCAAGTGCTTTTCTGAGAGCTGTTTGGGTGTCTTGGTTTCCTGGAGGGCCCCCCAGGCACCCCCACGCTGTTTTCAGCTGGGTCTCCTAGGGCTGGGTTTCTGCGAACACCCCAGGCGGTTTGTCAGCATCTGAGAACAGAAGGAGCGGCCCCTGTGTTTTGATCCTCTCACTGCTTGTGGTCTGGGTAGAAAAGCCGTTCTAACGAACACGAGGAGGTGTAACGTGGCCACGAGACAGACATGAGCCCCGACGGCCCAGCCGCACAGGCGTCCGGAGGCCCGGCTCCGCTGTGGGCCATCTTTCACTTGGGGGCTATTTTGGTTGTTCTGCAAGGGGTTTTTCATCTTCTGATTCAGCAAATAAAAATAACGTGTGATGGAATCCAACCTGTTCTCTTCTGAAAGTAAGAAGGACACATGCATTTCCCTGTTTGCCAGGAGTCTCCCTGTAGACTCCCGAGTGTGAAGTGTTTGCACGGGAATGTGAGCCACTTCTGAAGCCCAGTGCTTTCTCTCTTCTCCAGATGGACTTTCTGGCCGAGACCAGCCTGTGGAGCTGCTGAATCCCGCCCGCGTGAACCACATGCCCAGCACGGGTAAGTCCACTCGTCTGGCCTAGTGGGGGCTCGGACTCCCCCAAAGTGCTGTTTGGAGGCCCCACCACGTTGGGGGGGGTGTCTGGAGGGTGCAGGTGGGCCCTCAGATCATCTGACCCCTGTGCCGTCTCCTGAGGGAAAATAGGCCATATGTCGCGGAAGCCGGTCAGGCATTGGCTGTTCAAGAGGAAGGGAACCGTGACTCTTTTTTGTCTTGAGCTCTGGAGGGCGTGTTCTTCCCGAAAGTGCCAACTGCTCTTTTGAGATGTTACCTCAGAGTCGATCCATAGGAGGACCCTGTGGGGCAGAGTTCTGAGCTGGAGCTAGGACCAGACGTCCCCTGCCTGGCGAGGTCGAGTTGCCAGCAGCCACGGGACAGTGGGAGAGTCATGCCTTTCACCTACCCCGGCCCAGGCTTCTCACAGCCGAGGCTCTCCATGAACTTGTCTCCCAAGTGCCTTTTACTTTTTTTTTTTTTATGAGCAAAAGAAAATCAGCCATGATTATGTCCTTTATTCCATATATGATCTTTCTACATTTCATGCTTTAAGCAACGCTTTCCAAATCTAGATGGCGTGAAAACATTTTTCTTCTTTTTTCGTTAAAACAGCCCCCTCTCCCTGTCCCGGGCCCCATGTAGTGACTCCAGGATGTCAGCTCAGAGCCTGGGCACCATTTGTTCTGTGCCAGCTGCTTGGCCTTATTGAAAGAAAGGCAAACCTCTAAAAGGCTGGGATGTGAGTGCACTGTCGATTCCTGAGCCTGCGTTTCAAGACTGCGCTGCTGGACCCTTGCCTTCGCCACACCCCGAGGCCTCTGTCTCAGTGGTCTTGGCTCTGCGGCACCTCCTGGACCCCAGCCTTCCTGGGTACCACCCTGCCCGCCCCCTCCGTGGGCAGTGCTGGCCGGGACGGGGAGGTGATGGGCACCTGCCTCTGCCCCTGGTCCCCTTAAACAGAGGCTGGAAGTGGCGAGAAAGGGATGTCCTTCCTTGCATAGTGATGCTCCGTGCTCTGCCAAGGGTCATTCCTGGCGTCTCCCCACACACGAAGCTCCCATTGATTCTCTGCAGAGGTCCCTGGACGGTGCTCTGGTGATCCGTGTCCCTGGGGCCGTGGGCACTCGCTTCGCCGTCCCCTGGGATGCTCACAGCCCACTCTGTCTGCCGTTTCCATGCTTCTTCTCCAGGACCCCCTTCCTCACACCTTGACTTTTGACTCCAGGTGCAGGGAGGGGGGCTTCGGAATAGCCTGTGCGATGCTCAGGTTTTATGTGCAGCCTGTGTGACGGAAACCGCCTTGATTCTCACTTGCTCCTGGGCTCACATCACCAGTGTTACTGTTGTCTGAACACAGAGTCCTTGGGTGGTTGGGTGTCTTCAGGCAGCTTCCTAGTGCTCCTGTCCCCCCTGGGTGTGGGACAGAGAAAGAGACTTCCTAGACAGCCCCATAGGCCACGAAGGTGGGAAGTAGTTGTTTCCAGGTGGACCAGAAAGAGGTGGGCTCCCGATTAGTTTTCCTGCTTGGAAAGGACGTACGCCCTGTTGAGACCTGATATGGCTTAGGGTGAGACAGCCCATGGGCTTCAGATTCATAGGGGACCTGGGGTCCTGCTGACCCACTGGCTCTGACCTGAGGCTGATCGTTTCGTGGATGGGGATAATCCTTCTCTGCAGGATTCTTTTTTTTTTTTTTAAGACTTTATTTATTTATTTATTGAGAGAGAGAGTGAGAGAGAGCATGAGAGGGAAGAAGGTCAGAGGGAGAAGCAGACTCTCTGTGGAGCCGGGAGCTCAATGTGGAGCTCGATCCCAGGACTCTGGGATCATGACCTGAGCCAAAGACAGTTGCTTAACCAGCTGAGCCACCCAGGCATCCCTCTCTGCAGGATTCTTTTTTTTTTTTTTTTTTTTTTTTTAAAGATTTTATTTACTTAGAGAGAGAGAGAGAGAGCGAGAGTGAGCACAAGCAGATAGAGTGGCAGGCAGAGGCAGAGGGAGAAGCAGGCTCCCCACTGAGCAAGGAGCCCGATGTGGGACTCGATCCCAGGACGCTGGGATCATGACCCAAGCCGAAGGCAGCGGCTTAACCCACTGAGCCACCCAGGCGTCCCTCTCTGCAGGATTCTTAAAAGAATCACACGTGTCTGATTTTTAGTAGTTTCTGGACAGATGTTCCATTGACAGACACGTCCCGTTGTCCTGTTGACAGACATACTGAAGACAGTGTGTGACTTAATTGTGACAGCCTCTTCGGGGTCCTTGGATGATTCTGATGGGCCTCTTCTCCTCTCCTTTGAGGGGACCCACCCAACTTGAGAAATGGTGTCTTGGGGAACGTGGCCCCAAGTCATTGAAGCAAGTTGTTTAACTTCCTGGTAGCCAGACCCCTCGCTGGTAGATTGGGGGGAGGGTGTGGGGGGACAATGCCATGTTTCCTCCCTCGCTGGTCAGCAGTGTCTGCGGTGTGGAAGCCATGCCCACGGGCAGCCTGCCAGGAGGGAGGTACGTGCATGGTGTAGGTGTAACTCTGGGCACGAAGCTTGCAGGTCGAGGGCTGCTTCAGAAGCTGCTGGAGCGAGGGGCCTTCTTAGCCCCTCCACTCTCGGTCCATTCCAGGCCACTCTAAACCATGTCCTACAAGGAAACAGAATTTAAACTTAATATGAAAACTCCTTTATGGCCGCACTGATGTCACTATACAGTTCTTCGATGACTTTTCTGTCAATCCTAATTTGCCCCGGCAGATTTCCTCCCCACTGAGTTTAACCTTGACACTCAGCAATGTGATAACATGATACTTATATGTGATTCGCAGGAGTGACTCCAGCCTTCCCATGGGAACTTGTCCTCTGCGTAGGGAGGGGTGCCCGGCCCCTGTTCTGTTGGTCTGGTCTCACTGCTGGGCCCTTTACTTGGGGACGGTGGCACCTGGTAATGGTTCCCTTGACGTGTGGTTCGTCTTCATGACGTCTGGCTTCAGGTAGAAAGCACGCGTCCCATCATCTTGGTGCGCCATCTTGAATTGAGGTGTGAGATAGTTCACGCAAGAAAGTCTGAATTGTCGAAGAAAAAAGCCAAAAGCCTTTTTAGTCTGGGTTAATTCTGCTTTCTTCACCTCCCCCTGCAATGTCCTTGATGTAAACAAGGTTTCCTTTTTGTTTTCTTTTCCAACTGATCTTGTCACTGTGACTCCTGGTTAACATCCCAGTCCTTTGTTTCTTGAAGAAGTGAAGTGGCACCATTACAGATGTGGCTACACCTATTCCCCCTTCCCGGAGGCTGTCCTTCCTCCTCCTGGCTGGGGACTCAGGGCACAGGCCCCGTGGCCTGGTGGGACTGTTAGGAAGCCATGTCAGCAGCTCAGTTAGGTGAGAGAGAGATGTCGGAGTTTGAGGGGAATGAGAAATGCCCACCTGAGCCAGGGGTCTGGGTCGTGGGGGACTTGAGAGACATTTAAGTAACTCATTTGTGAATCAGTGTCATATTTTTGAAATAACAGACTTTTCCCTCTGACTCCAAAAAAATGCGTGTTTATTATGGAGGAGAGTCATGGTACTGAACATGTTGGGGTTTGGCTTCCAGAATTGGAAGGGGAGCTTGCTTGGCACTGCACAGTGTGGACACCAAGAGGCCCGCAGCAGCCTTGACTGAGTGAAGGGGTTGAGAACAACAGTGCCTCCGTCATCCAGGAACAAAGTGGAGGAAAACAAGACCTGAATAAGAACAGGAGGCCCAGGGGGCCTAGTGGCTCAGTCAGTTAAGCAGCTGCCTTCAGCGCAGGCCCAGGTCATGATGGGATCGAGTCCTGCATCAGGCTCCCTGCTCAGTGGGAAGCCTGCTTCTCCCTCTCCTCCCTGCTTGTGCTCTCTTGCTATCTCTGTCTCTGTCTCTTTCTCTCTCTCCGAAATAAACAAAACCTTTACCAAAAAAAAAAAAAAAAGAACAGGATGCACATATTAAGCACTGACTATTGATGCAATGGCCTGCTGAGGGGCTGCTGTCCGTCACGCATGCACTCATCACAGCAGCCAAGGGTCCTTGCTGCCTGGAGCACCTCTGCCCCATGGAGAGGGGACCGGGAACTTTGGGTCAGGATCACTCTCTAAGGACACCCAGCATGTAAATTATGGGGCAAGACCTCTGCTCTGTGCTGCTGGAGGAGAGACCACCTCAGCCAGTGTTGTGACCCCTGTGCCCAGGGGGACGTGGCGGCCGAGTCGAAGGATGGGAGCTGCGTGGATGAGAAGCTCCGGCATGTTCCATAGGTGTGGGATTCAGGTACCATTGCCTCCAGATGTGTGTCCGTAAAGCATGTGAGGCTCGGTTAGGGGGGTTTCTGTTTGAGGCTGTTTAACAAAGGTGCAGTTTTTAGAAAGAAAATTGTGGACTTTTGAAGAAATTACAGAAACTCAAAGAACTTACCCAAACTGAGCAAAAAATAAAGCTTAACTTTTAGCACATGGATTCCCACATCTTAAAGGGTATCGACCCCCACACTGTCAAGAGGTGGTTGGATTTCCTGACCCTCGTCTTGAGTTTTGGAGCAGGAGCTGGGTGAGACTAGCTGGAGCCAGAAGTTTCTACTGCCTCCCAGCCATGTTTCTCATGCTGTCATTTGGTTTCGGTGAGAGAAGACTCACCTGGTGAAGGAAATGCAAATATGAGACACGTGGGACCCCTGAAGGACCCCGGGAGAGTGCCAGAAAACCTCCCTTACCAGCTTCCGAGGTGATGAATTACTTTAACCAGTCGATCCCCCTGGGAACCAGACCCCCATGGTAATTCTTCTCCCGCACAGCCCCCCTCATGTGTGTGTGACAGGAAGTGGGTCTCTGGGGTTGGGATGGGCATGGTCGAGGGTGGTGAAGGATCGTCCCCCCTTGGGCGGCTCCTGCTGCAGTGCCAGGCAGGGACAGCAGGACGGAGGCCACCTTCTTCGGTTTCCTCATCCTGGCGATGTGTCACTCGGGACTCATCTGGCTCTGCCCAGCAGGAGGCC